ACTGATATAGAGATACCGGATACACTATATGGTGAATAACTGATATAGAGATACCGTACACACTATATGGTGAATAACTGATATAGAGATACCATACACACTATATGGTGAATAACTGATATAGAGATACCATACACACTATATGGTAAATAACTGATATAGAGATACCATACACACTATATAGTGAATAACTGATATAGTGATACCGTACGCACTATATAGTGAATAACTGATATAGAGATACCGTACACACTATATAGTGAATAACTGATATAGAGATGCCATACACACTATATGGTGAATAACTGATATAGAGATACCGTACACACTATATGGTGAATAACTGATATAGAGATACCATACACACTATATGGTGAATAACTGATATAGAGATACCGGATACACCATATGGTGAATAACTGATATAGAGATACCGTACACACTATATGGTGAATAACTGATATAGAGATACCATACACACTATATGGTGAATAACTGATATAGAGATACCATACACACTATATGGTGAATAACTGATATAGAGATACCATACACACTATATGGTAAATAACTGATATAGAGATACCATACACACTATATGGTAAATAACTGATATAGAGATGCCATACACACTATATAGTGAATAACTGATATAGAGATGCCATACACAATATATGGTGAATAACTGATATAGAGATACCGTACACACTATATGGTAAATAACTGATATAGAGATACCATACACACTATATGGTAAATAACTGATATAGAGATGCCATACACACTATATAGTGAATAACTGATATAGAGATACCGTACACACTATATGGTAAATAACTGATATAGAGATACCGAACACACTATATAGGTGAATAACTGATATAGAGATACTGATATAGATGCCATACACTATATAGTGAATAACTGATATAGAGATACCAGAGACACTATATGGTGAATAACTGATATAGAGATACCGAAGACACTATATGGTGAATAACTGATATAGAGATACCATACACACTATATGGTGAATAACTAATATAGAGATACCGGACACACTATATGGTGAATAACTGATATAGAGATACCATACACACTATATGGTGAATAACTGATATAGACATACCGTACACACTATATGGTGAATAACTGATATAGACATACCGTACACACTATATGGTGAATAACTGATATAGAGATACCGGAGACACTATACGGTGAATAACTGATATAGAATAAAACACTAAAACTTCTTTGGTGGTCCAATTCATGGAGCCGAAGTTTATGTTGACGTTTTGCCATCGTCAAACCAATTCCGATTGTTATCACGTCGAATGGAAACTTTATTTTGACACATTGCACAATTACAGTTTTCAGGTTGCATGCGGTCATTCTTGTGCAAATGTGATTGTTGTTACCATGGCTGTATGAGGGAGTTTATGTGGCCTGTCAATAGATAATACTGTCCTACTGGGTTATCTACAAGACATAAAACTCAAATAGCAAATACGACAAAAGTAGTAAAACACAATTGGCAACAGACATCACTGACGTAGAATTCAAATTACTTATAACTAAACACATTCATGAATTCTCATTTCTACTTTCAGCTATTTTTGTAATTCATGTTTGCACATGTAGGTGCACGTTTAGCCCTTCAACTGTAATTCCAGCCTGACACGCCATCCAGTTTACTCTGAACTGGGCCGATGTGTGTACAGCACAGGCTAATCCGGCTGTTGGGGAAGAGATCGGGTGCGTGGCAGGCTTGTCCTATCAGTCTCACGCCTTGCAACTGGAGTGATATACATAGAGATAAGAATGGATTTCTTTCTTGTCCATTCAACCGTGAGGTTGGATTTCAAAACGGTTCACAACCGACGATTTCCGACTGTGATAAACTTCAATCGGTTGTGTTAAGAGAAATTTAGAACAATTTGGAGCAGTCACGAAAATGTATTGGTTGTTTCGCACTTGATGAAACCTGAAGGTTTGATAAAGAACACTATTTCTCGGCATCTTTTATTGCAATGGCACGTGCGAAAACGTGATCTATCGTTTCAGGTTTTTCACATTGGTGTATAGTCCCATTGGTCACCCAAGATAGCACACCTGGCAACTAATTGCATGATGTCCGCCATTCTTTAAAAAAGTACTTTAGTTAGCCAATGATGAGCAATCAATCAATGTATTGGCGGTTAATCCTTTGAAGGAAGGACGTTGTTTTTACAAAGACACTTTACGACAGGGTGTATTTAGTATAGATTAGTAAATCTACATACATAAAGACTACCTTTTGACAGCGTGTTATCGGTTAATCCTTTGATCGATGTTTGTTTTGTAACTCAGCTGATAATTCCTCTTACTGCACTTCCATGCGCATATTACAGAAGATGTAATACATTTGCCACATCAGACCTCAATTTATAATGATGAGTATTTACTCCAGACACAAGAAATGCCAAATGGGAACCTTTGTCGGGTAATCTGAGTGGTGTTATCACTAATTATACCTGTTATAAATTCATTAACTGACTATCAAGTGAATGATGACAAACATCATGTGTAGGTTTACCACCAAACAAGGGTTACAGCAAGAAAGTAGTAATCGCTGTATTGCATGCAAGTTTGAGTGCCTGAAAAAAAAACCTTATGGGCAGACACTGTTTTGAGGATACGAACGGAACTTCATTGTTACATAAGAAATATATATAGCATTTACTGTGTACTTAGTTAAAAACTGTATATACCTATGTACCTAAGTAAAATTTCAGATTTATTTTGCAATGGCAAAGTGGGGTTGTTTAGTTTATGGATTCAAATATATCAAATGTGTGTTTTTGATATCATAGCATACGTAATAGACATCATATTTTTACATGATTAAATATTGAGGTAAAAAACACACAGAAATTGGGTCAAATTGGATCAGTCACTATACCATCCAAACATTTGAAAATGTGAAAAAGCCTACACTGCTGGGATAATTTATTACACCCAGTCCCCGTGTCCGTCACGGTCGAGAGAGCAGAGGCTGACCAGTTTGCAGCTAGGTTAGAATGTATGCTGGAAACAATAATCGCTCTGGATCAGTGGCCCTTTAAATTCACTTTGTTGCTAAACAAACACTGTTTCTGCTTTTTATGACATTTGTTGAAGCATTAGGTGTTTCCAGGTCAGAGTTGTTAAAAATAATCAATTATACTTTAGGATTGCTTAGTACAGCTGACCCAACCAAAGTATAAGGAACGCTTCTGTTGTGGGTACAAAATACTCTTCACGACACAAGATGTTTCCGATCATAGTCTGCATGAAATGACACAGAGTCACCGGGAGGGGCACCCAAGGGGTGGGGGTGGAGGGGGCAGTGTGTGCTTAGGTCACTGGGTGAGGTGGTCGCTGTAGGATCTGGTTTGGTTCCCCTGATAAATGAGACATTTTAGAATGTTGCTGAAAATCGCTAAAATCCACATATTGAACTTGAAACAAACATTGTGCTACGAATTATTTGGTCACTTTTACATGATGAAGCCATAGTCATACAAATGAAATCTCTGAAGAAATATCACTGAATCGCCAACATTGGATATACAAAACAACGTTGGCGCACAAGTCGAATGAGACTTTGAAACTTGAAAGCAAGCCTTTTGTCGTACAGTCTTTCGCCACTCCATTGTCGCTCTAAATAACTCACCACAGGTCTACGTAACATGGGGTTGAACTGACCATCAAGTGAATGATGACAAATAACATGTGTAGGTTTGCCACCAAACAAGGGTTACAGCAAGAAAGTAGTAATCGCTGTATTGCATGTAAGTTTGCCTGAAAAAAAAACAACTTATGGGCAGACACTGTTTTGAGGATACGAACGGAACTTCAATGTTACATAAGAAATATATATAGCATTTACTTAGTAAAAAACTGTATATACCTATGTACCTAATTCGAATGAGACTTTGAAACTTGAAAGCAAGCCTTTTGTCGTACAGTAGAACACGGATATAATGAACTCCAAGGGACCAAGAAATTTAGTTCGCTATATCCGGTGTTCGTTATTCACATTTGACCGAGTGAGTTCGCTAATCACGTCGTTAATTGGGCTTGGGGGTAGTAAATCAGTTCGCTATAGTCGTTAATTCGCTACTCACGAGTTCGTTATTCGCGTATAATTCTAATGATATCATAAAGGATTGTTGACGGGACTTTTAAATTTGTTCGCTATATCCGTTTGTACGCTATATCCGTGTTCTACTGTACATGGTTACATTGTCGAACATGGCTTCTTATATTTCTAGGTCCGGTTGGTAAGTCAGTGGCGAGGTGTTGGATATTTGCCCAGTATTCAACGATATTATAACTTCTTGGACAAATTCCTCATGGATCAAGTATATAGCTATTCTTTTGGTTTGAGATGGTGGCGGACATATATGAAATAGACAAAGACTGATGAGCACCAGGTCTGTGGTGCGGAGGTAGAAATTGGTCGTGTCAGGATTCGATGAGGTGAAATCCCATATTTGACCTTACGATTATGCACTCACGCTTCAAAGGACACAGAGTGGATATCAAAGATGTTCCAGGTTTGATGTCTCTGAAATAGCATCAGTCAGGGTCAGAGTTACGTTTCCACATAAAACAAATGCCATTGGCATTATGTGGTTTCAAATACTTTCTGTCAATGTTTACCTCACTCACATCACTAGTGGCTTGGTTTAGTTGCACCAAAATACCAAATAAATGTCGAAATTTCGATAATTGAATAATTAAAATCTTGTAAAGCTACAGATATATGCGAATGTTACACATAAATGAAACAATAAATTATAAATAATGATAAGCGTTGATACAAAATAACGTTGTACACAGAGAATTGTCCAGATCAATGCAGTTCCAGATTTTATTGGCCTTATATATAGGCATTCCCAAGTGGACGTGAATGGGGGTTCCTGACCACCTGCGGCCCAATAACAGGATTTAGCTGTATGTATAATTTTATTGCAGCACAAACGCAAACAAATGCAATAATTTGATCATTTTCTATCTATGTACTTGGAATCATACCCAATGATCTTGCGGTATGATTAAATTATAGTTAAATGATAAAGAAAGACGTCTTTCGGTTTAAGTTTCCAGAAGGATGTGGATGCATTGAAAAACTCATTGTTCCTTTGTAGATATCACGACTACAGTTTTAAACAATTTGTATTCTATTTCTAGTCATGAAATATGCTTACGATGCCTATTGCCACTATTGTGCTCAATTCAGACTTACAGCAATGGGCGATACCTCCTTGCATGGTAAAAGATAACGATCATTAAAGATTATAGATACCTGAAACGAGACACCAGAAGGTACGGACTACATCATTGTGTAAATCCGATACTGAGTTGACGCCAGTTTCCACAAACTCCGTAATATTAATAACCATCATATTCGAAGACATTTACTCATCTGCCCAACAAATACTGCTAAAAATGTATTTTGTCAGTAGATCAGGAAAACACGGCCAAATCGAGTTTACTGGCGCAGCTAGCCACAGCAAAAACCCGACTCAGTGTCGACGTTTAGAATCGGATGGTAAAAGCGGAACAATAGATATTTACGATAGCTACTGAAGATGTATACACCCACCAATTGTCAACACTGTCCAGGGGGTAGCTGTTTGAAGGTGTAACGGGGTCAAATGTCCCACATCAAATTATCTCCTTTGAAACTGATATACATCGATAACGGTAGCTGTTACATAAAGGGTTATTTCGCAGTTTCAAGAACATACAAGTTGCCGGCTAGCCCACTAGAGCCGGGACAAGATATCTAGATGGTGACAACGGTAGTGAAGCGCACGTAAAACACGTATAGCTTTGTTGGGTTTGTCTGCACCAATGATGACGTTCTTAGTTTCCGACACGTTACGTAATATTTCAGTCATTTAAGAGCCGAGGTAGCATGTGTGTTTACACTTGTTATCCATTTGGGTATTTAATCCCAGGTTTTCAGGGTCAAGAACAGAGCTAGATGTCCCACTGCATGGTGATCTCTCAGGTCGCTATTCCACATGCGTCTCGTCACCTCCCTTGATGTCACACAGTGTAGATCCAATCTCGGGGCCAGCGTGATCCTGGCTGTAGAACACAAGGCCGGTGTTGTACAGATGCTGCTGATGCCGAGGGTCGATCCTCAGGTACCTACAGTTGTACCTCAGTTCCTCCATGTCCTCTTCGCTTGGAATAGTCAAGGAGTTCGCTCTTGGAACATACCCAAACTTAATCTTCTCATTCTTCACCTGAATCTTCTCCCGCCGTTCCTTCTTCCTCTGGGCAACAGTCCTGGCTGTTCTTGTTCTAGCTGGGGGACTCACAACGTCCCCGCGGTCCCAGAACGTCGTGCATTTCGATGGATCAGCTCTTTTAGTGTACAGGCGTCGTTCAAGGCTATATACTTCTTCCCCTACTATTGCATTTTTCTTGTGTGCAGACTGCAGCAAGTCTGCGAAGATGACTCTGTCGTTGTAGGTGGTGTTGATGCCGGTGTAGTGCAGCTGAAGATTCCGCAGTCCAGGTCGAGCTGGCGTCAGATATTGGTTCGTTTTACTAAACATATCATTTCTCTTATGGAGAAAGGTTTTCGATTTTTCGAATGCTGGATCGTAACATGATTTCTTCTTTTCGGGATTCGAGTCGTTCGTATCAACACACAAAGGATTTGATTTCCATGTCACTCCACTGACCTTTCTATTCTTTCCTGATTTTGAAGACGCATTGTCTTTACTTTGATTGCCATTCGCAGAGCTAAATCCCAGAGATGTCTTTGGTCGTGGCATCGTTGAAATTGATGCATATTTCTTATTCACTTTATGAACTATTTTTATTGCGCCTGTTGTTGATGGTCTAGGGTGCACAGAATTGTTGAACTTTGAACCATCACTCCCTGTTCCCGTGTTCGACGATGATCGGACACCAGAATCAGAAGACACGATATTGACTGAATATGGCCGTCTTGCATACACTGACACATCAATAGACACACGGGAATACTCTCCGTGCACACCGCTCTTGAGGAACTGAAACTCTGGTTGTTGTTTAATATATTCAGCGGGAAAACGTCTAGTTGACAGAACCGTATCCATTTTGGTATCCACCGAATATCTAATACTGATCCTAAGTACAGTGGATACCCAAAAGCACGTCAAATGCCCAAGTGTATCATATAAATATTCAAAATGGCGAGTTTTACATGTCGGTACTGGGCCACACTATCTTTTCCGGCAGTCAACAGTTACTGACAATCTGTCGCCTTGTGTCTCTTCATAGTATACCTGTATACGGCGTCCATCAACTTCTTATTGTATATGAATTGAGGAAATCACATTTTCATAAACAATTCCGACTTTCTGAAACTATATTTATCCCCAGGTGCCTCTTCTCAATGATCATCCACTCGGCACAACCTTCCTTTCCTATGCGAAGACATGTAGACGCCAAACTTCTCTTGCTTCACTCAGAAGGAAACGTATTCATACTTGGTGTTGATGTCCAAACTTTCAAGTAAATGAAACAATAAATCGCGTTTTCTAATCATCCATGTACATGAACGTCCGAGAATATAAACATCCGAGAATATCGTTGGAAAGTGTATTTTGTTGGAAAGTGGAACTGTGCATTCAGAAGCTCACGAAAGGTATCCTTCGCCACACACTGTGTATCTGTGATCCACACCCTGTGTAGGACCCACGGGTAGTGTGGCAAGTATTATTTCATATTTAATGGCCGTTATAAATCATATCGCGACATTGTCATACCATCATTAGATGTGGTTGTATTTGTACACTGAGTTGAGAGTCATTTACCGGCTGTAAACATGTCAGGTTTCCAGCCTGGCGTTGTTATCAAAGCATTTGCCCGACACCTCGCTACTCCGTGACGATTTACAACGTTGATCACAACGACACACGTCGCCCATCACGTCCATAGTGAGGAGTTTGGATGATGTTGAAATTCTGAATCAATTTCACTATTTTATGTTCACTTCAAACTGATAACAAACAAAGTTTGTTTTTAAGAACCGCGTTGACACAATACATTTCCTGACGTTTGAGCGACGTAAAACCCAATTTCACCTCACCTGTCGTTTGAATAAAGCAACGAAAAACACATAATTACCGACACCTCGTTCATCTTATAATCTGAATCAGCTCCGACATTCTAAGGAACTACAGTATTATTGGATGAGCCCACATCTCGGGAGACTAAATCACGTGGTCTCTTCTACTGCAGGTGCGCCTATCTTGATCACGCAACCGACAAATACTTTAGTCTTGCTGTTGATGAGCTGTAACCAGACCTGGTATCGCCACAACCTAATCAGCCAATAAATCGATAAAATGCGGTGTAGATCTTCTTCATAGCGCGACTGTAAATACAATTATAGATAATTATAGATTATAATAATTATAGCTATAGGAAGATGCTGTTGGCACGCTGAGGTGAAAAATGTTTATTAATTTTACATGTTGACGCCCCTGATAATGTTTTGTCCTGTCATACAGACAGAATCCGTCCTGTCATACAGACAGAATCCATTGAGCTTGAGGCGTGGCCTACTTTCCCATGTCTACCTGTCATCTGCTAACTATGTGAGCATTGTGTGAGGTCCTCGTTATGGAAATATTCCATGCCAAATAGATAAGAATAGAAGGAATCATCAAAACATGACACCTCATCTGTTTGGAAATGATACAATCATCCTACTTGTAAGCAGGCGATCAGATTTGATGGATTATAATGGTTGGCGTGATGCGATAATGGCGCACGTGGTCGTTAAAAAGGTCGAAGGTTGAATTTTGCAGCCACAAATGTTGGCTAGACATGCACGACTTCTTCCGGCACGCTTCTGATGAGACGACCAATGTCATCTTGACACATGGTGTCCAACTCCTCAGTGACGTTGACCTACGTCTGTCAATAGCCTCCATGACGTGTTGGGTGAAACCTCGATTCTTTTGTCATGGACGCCGAGAGTGAATCTCGATTAGCCTGAATGTATGGCATTAGGCGCAATGCCAATCATCACAGTGCTACCGTTCTCTACACATTGACACCACATACAGTAGCGGTAATAATTTTTGCTCGGATTGGTAAACTGAAAATGAAGGAATTTGGCAAAGAAGTTTAACTTAAAGATGATATTGTTAAAAACCGTAAAACATCTAGATCCCTACTGCCGACAATCAAGATCCCTACTGCCGACAATCAAGATCCCTACTGCCGACAATCAAGATCCCTACTGCCGACAATCAAGATCCCTACTGCCGACAATCAAGATCCCTACTGCCGACAATCAAGATCCCTACTGCCGACAATCTAGATCCCTACTGCCGACAATCAAGATCCCTACTGCCGACAATCAAGATCCCTACTGCCGACAATCAAGATCCCTACTGCCGACAATCAAGATCCCTACTGCCGACAATCAAGATCCCTACTGCCGACAATCAAGATCCCTACTGCCGACAATCAAGATCCCTACTGCCGACAATACTGCCGACAATCAAGATCCCTACTGCCGACAATCAAGATCCCTACTGCCGACAATCAAGATCCCTACTGCCGACAATCAAGATCCCTACTGCCGACAATCAAGATCCCTACTGCCGACAATCAAGATCCCTACTGCCGACAATCCCTACTGCCGACAATCAAGATCCCTACTGCCGACAATCAAGATCCCTACTGCCGACTATCAAGATCCCTACTGCCGACAATCAAGATCCCTACTGCCGACAATCAAGATCCCTACTGCCGACAATCAAGGCCCTCGTAAAGCTTTCAAAAGTTTTGGGTATCGCATCTGTGGGCTAATAGTACAATAGTACTATACCATCCCGTGTTCTTTTAAGGGGAACAGTTCCCTGGCCCTTGGAGGAGCCGTTGGGGCAGGTAAAATCTTCTCGCAAACACCATACTAGCATAGTGATTGATAAACATGTGTTCATGATGCAGTCGCATTTGCACAATGGACCCTGCTTTTAGCATGGACTTGAGAATCTCATGTCTTTGGAAAACACCGAGTATGTATGACGTATGACCCCATTGATAACAACTGTTATCGCCGTTATCGTGTAGAGTCATTGGCCCTCTACACGGATGTGCAACATATCTACAGACATGTTCTCACATGTGATCACACGGACCTCAAATACAAAGTGTAATATTATTTAGATGTTTAAGGATGTATATCTGAAGCAAAACGACAGTGTTCTCAATATGGGATGTTCCTGAAGGTTGTGTAGCTACTTGATTCACTCCGACGGCGCATTCAGGGATTACCACCATCTTAGTCTCTCACCGACCCTCAAGCAAGACGATGGACAAATCAAAAGAAAAATCTAATCAAGCCTGCCTTTGCTCCTCAACTCAAGCTTTAATCGTAGCAGTCGTCTGTTCTCTTTATACTGGTATATTTGTCTGGGTTCAATCCAGCTCCTTCTACACCTCGAACACCGCCATGTTGATTCACGTGACCTCTCACCTTGGGCAGACGACAGATCTGGTCGTCATGACAGACGACACTGTACTGACTTTGAAGGAGAAGATCGCCGAGGAAGAGGGTACACCCGTTCAGCAACAACGTCTCATCTTCCTCCACCAAACACTGGACGACAGCAGGACGTTGAAGGAATACCGTATCAGGAAGGACTCTGTCATCCACCTAGCCCAGAGCATCACCAGGCACAGCGGAATCCGGGTACTTGTCTCCAGGGTAGGGGACACGACATTCAGCCTTGTTCGTGTGTATGGAAATGAGACTCCGCTTGTACTGAAACAGAAGGTGTCCGATATTGTGGGTATTCCGGTGGGCGTAATGTCCGCTGTGTTCAATGAGCGTCATCTCTGTGACTACAGCAGGCTGTCCGAGTTGAACCTTGACCCCAAGTTGGTCTATAGGCTTTCGGTAGTTCCCGTGTATGGTCGAAGGTATCCGGAGATTGCCGACATGAGGTATGAACTGCATCTGGCCGATTTATGAAAACCGAAATGTTATGACGTTACGACGTTACAGACAGCACTACGGATGTATGTTTTAGCGCGGACATCGTGAATGTGAAACAAATAGTACATCAGACATGAAGCATGTGAGAGGCAATGAACGTATCAACAATACTTCACCATCCTGAAAACATATTGTAAGATACAATCTTGATTTAGATTTACCAAGATCAGTAAATGTCTTTCAACGTTTCAGTGAACGTTTAATTCCCCGTTTCAAGCTTATGGTTTAAGGTCTTGTATCTATCATATCCGGTTTCATTAACATCATTTTCAACCAGAACATTTTCATTTAACATCTTCTTTCAACAATAGTTACAGCAGTGAACCATATTGTTTTCATTTTGCTATAAACCAAAGCGACTGCAGTTAAGATCTGGTTTCAACCATATCATGTGTGGTATATCTGTTGTTTCAACCATATCGTGCGTGGTATATCTATTGTTTCAACCATATCATGTGTGGTATATCTGTTGTTTCAACCATATCGTGGATGGTATATCTGTTGTTTCAACCGTATCGTGCGTGGTTTATCTGTTGTTTCAACTATATCGTGCGTGGTATATCTGTTGTTTCAACCGTATCGTGCGTGGTTTATCTGTTGTTTCAACCATATCGTGCGTGGTTTATCTGTTGTTTCAACCAACCATATCGTGCGTGGTATATCATGTGTGGTTTATCTGTTGTTTTTCAACCATATCGTGGTATATCTGTTGTTTCAACCATATCATGTTCCTGTTGTTTCCAACCATGCGTGGTTTATCTGTTGTTTCAACCGTATCGTGCGTGGTTTATCTGTTTCAACTATATCGTGCGTGGTATATCTGTTGTTTCAACCGTATCGTGCGTGGTTTATCTGTTGTTTCAACCGTATCGTGCGTAGTATATCTGTTGTTTCAACCGTATCGTGCGTGGTTTATCTGTTGTTTCAACCGTATCGTGCGTGGTTTATCTGTTGTTTCAACTATATCGTGCGTGGTATATCTGTTGTTTCAACCGTATCGTGCGTGGTATATCTGTTGTTTCAACCATATCGTGCCTGGTTTATCTGTTGTTTCACACATGTCATGCGTGGGTTACCTGTTGTTACAGCTTTGCTGTTTGGCTTTAATTCATTATGTATTAAAAATACAAACTATACAAGTAAAGGCATCTGTTTCTCACGCCAGACAGATGAAACTTGGGATGTCCTAGTTTGTGGTAAGAAGCTACCAAATGACTCGACTTTAGACAAAGGTTAGAAAGTAAATGCCCACAAGAGAATATTTAAGTTTTTCACTTCTCAAGGTGCGTGTATACCCTCACCTATGTGTGAGAGACTGCAAAATGGCGTGCGCTAAGGTAGTGCTCCTGGCTAGAGTCAATAGCGAACGTGAACTATATTTGCCAAGAGTACACAATTTTAATATCTGACATTTGAATGACCCCAGAAATCTGACTTTATTAAAAACCAACACGTTTGATATGCTCTCATACAATTAGGTACCAAATCCATATGCAACCATTCACTCCGCGCCCTGTGGTCCCAATCATACACGCAATCAACATATAATACACGTATTGTTAGTTCGCAGGCTGCCTTCCTGACACCTGAATAGAGGGGCGGGTTAATGGCCACTCTAGGGCGGATTGACCAACGAGTAGTTGTGTGGAAAGTACAA